TGTATGTAAGTAAACAGGTAGGTCGGTCGGGCTGTCGGTCGCTCAGTCGGCAGGCATCATGTATCTAGTCAAGCAAGTAGAAAGCAAGGGACCGCACATAAAGAAACAGTTACAAGAGGGAACGAGACAGAGAAAGAATCAAATCTGCAACTCAAAACACCAAAAAACTAGCTCAGAGGTACCCGACAATTATCTATCTCCTGATCTCTGCGTTTTCCACACAACAAAATGCACTAGGATTTGCTTGGCGATCATGACGAGCAGCTCCAAGTCTTGGTGGTTTGGTGCTTGGGCGGTAAGTTGTTCGGGCTCCCATCGGAGGAGATTGGGTTTTGTTTACAGTCTCAGGCATCTATATGGGGGATCTGAAAGGCGTCTACACGCGATAGCACAGACCTCGAGGTCGAACATCGGCATTTCGACAAATCCTCGTGCAACTCCTAGTATACAAGCCTTGGAGATTTCGCTTGAAGCACAATCGCTGCCTAAGACCCTCAACCCGGCCCCTGAACCCCAAAAACGATTGACACGATTAAGCTTCGCACCCTCAACCATTAAACTCCCAATCCCAAACTCTGTGAAACGCTAAACAAACCCAAACACGTACATGAACCCTTAAATTCCAAACTCTAAGAAACCTTAAAAAACCATTTAAACCCTAATTACTCGGACCCCTAAGTCACAGCGAAGGTGCTCAACTGCCATTGCTGACGTTCTTTGACGGGGAGCTTAAGGAGGTTTCGCAATGCCTGCGGCAGGACCTCTCTCTCTCTCTCTCTCTCTCTCTCTCTCTCTCTCTATACACATATATATACATATATATATATATATAGAGAGAGAGAGAGAAAAAAAAACAAAACGAACAACAGAACAACACATACAGAATGCATATATATATATATACACACACAAGACCTTCGAAGCTCGAATATGGGAGCCTTCATACTTGCAACGGAGTTTGGGGCGGGGGGGGGTATATATGATGATACGGACTAATAAGGAGCCCTGAACAGTAATCGAAACTCCTGCGTGCTTTCGCTGTGAGCCGCTTGGGTTCCGCGGTTTAGGCTTGGGTTTGGCTGAAGAGGGAAGCACTGTATGGAAAATTGAAAAAGCCGTATTAACCTCCTATTTCGTATGCTCCGAATTCCAGAATCACGACTTATTGCAGCCTCTACGCCGTCACTCTGAAACAGATTTGCAAAGGTCTGCGCAAGCCTACGCTCCAATTGGTGTATCCCGGATGTGGCTCAGTTTTGTGCCGACAGTTTGTGAGCAATTCAGAAGCTCACCAACGGCGATCAAGCCTCTACAAAGGCTGAAACCTGATGGGAGATGTGGCCTTATGACAAGTGTGTTATGTAGCTGACTGAAATCCAGCCCCTGCTTTTCAGATTGAACAAGAGCCCGGGCAAACAACGAAAGACCGCAGTGGCCATGATTCCCAGCCAGTACCCTCAAAGACATACAGACTCCAACCTTTTTGACAACAGCCCGGCGACAAGCTTGCAAACAAAGCTTTGAAGTTTGACAAGCTGCAACTCCCTGGCCTCACTACATCGAAAATACGAGCCGAAAGCGCAAGATTGAAACGGATTCCTTGTCTCTCTGCCTGAACCCTGCATGACCTACCTGTCTAACGAGAATATAGGAAGTTTGATACGAAGCCCTCAACATGTAGGTGCTCTACCGATCTAGGTACCAAGCAGGGCTTCAAGGGCTACGGTTCGCGCACTTTGGGCCCAGGCCGCCTTCTCCCACTCGCTTGGCCAGACAAGAGCTTCAGGATTTGACAAATCCTGCGCCATGGCCTCCAAAGACGCAGCTTTTAGGGTCTTTTGGTTCGGGGGTTTAAAGGTTCAGGGTTTAGGGTTTAAGGGTTTAGGGGTTCATGTTTTCGCGTCTAGGTGTACTTAAGCATGGTGTACACGTTGTCCCCCTGTGTCATAGAACACCTTTGCAGGAGCCGATCCAGGGCCAAAGTACGTACTATGACAGGGACACGTACTTTAGGGCTACCTACCTTGAAGGTCCATGTACCTAAGTAGTATATACATTGGCCCTAGAGTAATCCCTATATGGGTACTTCGGGGCAAATACACAACTAGTTGGGTACATGGACCCTCACGGTTATGCCTGGATCATCAAGAGCATTCTCCGTTCCTCAAGATGGAGATTCGGGCTACCGGGACTGAACTCCGCTGCGTCGCCCAGGCTTCGAAGCTTCGAAAAAAGCTCGGGGAGGCGGCTTACATCTAGTGTGCATTCTATGAAGGATATCAGGAAGTCGTTCAGTTTGCATGTTCCAAAATCCAAAGCCTAGCATCAATAACCGTACAGCAGTAAACCCTTTAGAACTCACATTTTGAGCATCCTAAAACTTTCAACCCTGGAGCTCTTGAGGCTGTTCAAGCCATTGGTCAACTCAAATCTCTCAACCGTCGTCCACCTTCGGACTGGAGTTCTATTCATAACACCCAGACCCAACCTCAATCCTCCCCACACCTAAACCTCCACACCCCAAAACATGAACCCAGACAAGAAGACCCTACACCACTACCGATCAACCTTACTATGGAAACTCTATCGGCCCCGAAACAGCCCTACAGCAAATCCTTCAGGACCTAACCGACAAGACAAGGCGGCCGCCTCCGCAACTGGAAGCTTCTGAACTCAGGATGAAGTGAAGGGCTGTAACTGAGCCAGCGGCGGCCGGCAAAGTGCAGCTGAGCGGTTTCCGTCTTAGGGTTCAGGGGTTTAGTGGCTTTGGGTTTTGGGTTTGGGGGTTTTGGGGCTTAGGGTTTTGGGGTTTAGGGCCCTGGCTAAGAGTCTCGGCAAGGGCCTCCAAGATAACCGTCGTGAATCAAGCCCAAGCTGCTCCAGAGAAAAGAACCGCCCGTGACTGCATGAACACACGGAACAAGACCGCGTTCATCTTTTTCAGGACTCGACACATGTGTGCCTGCATTCTTGCAGTACATCATAGACTTTGGTATTACATGCAAGAAGCTTCGAGGGGTTTGATTTCCTTCCGTCCCTCTCTCTCTTGTAGCAAAACTGTGCTGCTGTGAATCTTTTCAGAGGGCCGCAAGCTCTTTCGAAGAGAGTAGTTTGTGTACGCACACGGACGAATCATCGGACTGGCATTGGCCAGACATCCACACATTGGCCGCAACAGCAGCAGCAGCAGCTGCGAAACCAAAACATGACTTAGGAGGGGGGAAAGCGACTCTGGATACCACGATTACTGGACCGGAACTCGGAACTTGCTCATTGCGCAAGACTAAAGAAACCTGTACAAGGTCAGCGAGCGTCGCCAGCATTCAGAGAGGGCACCTCAGTAAGCAGGCAGGAAAAGAATGCACAAAGGTTGGTTTGCTGACGTCAATCACGTCAATCAGCTCCGATGCCATGCAACAATGGAACGTCCCTTGCTCTTGCATTTTACTCCCGCCTTTCGCCTTCAATGAAACTTCAATGAGGGCCGCGCACCATGCCGTGTTTCTATGCACAAGCAGACCTGCGATCAATTCATGCTGCAAATACAAGTAACTATTTCCATGGCCATATCAGGATGTCTCCGAGCAACACTTACAAGAACCCTTCCGTCCTGGTGCACAGAACTCACGTGCTATATAAAAACCAGCGCTGGGAGCAGGCATCTCGAAACGAACAGCATGTGCCACCACAGTCTCATGCAAGGCCTATGTACCATCAACCCTAAGCCCTAAACCGATAGCCCCGCGCTCGAAGTGTTAAACACGAAAGTCCACCCAGACCAGCCAGGCCAGGGAGGATGTAGCTGCAGCTGCATCAGCTCTGGTGGATGCAGACGTCTCAGATCAGAGCATCTTGGGACGTCCGCATCCGAGAGCAACGCCCCCAGAAGGATCGGAGAGCGTTCGGGGGATGCAGTGCATTGAAGAAGAACTGAGCTAGAAAGTCATGCCGAGAGTGCCAAGAACGGCCGATGTCTGCAACATGCACCAGGCCGTGCAAGCCGGAGTTTGGCATAGACCGTTATAGCGTTAACGGCGTTAAGAGTGCAATTCCGTCATCAAGGTAAGTCTAAACTGGAAGGGATTTGTTGCTCGGCTGCAGCAGGCTGGCATGTCTACAGCAAGGGCCACTCTCTTGGCAAGCGATTGACACGATCAGCGTTCCGGCAGCATTCGTCATATGAAATTCTACGGTATCTAAGCATATACAAAGCCATCATGTCTGAAGCATAGCCACAACACTGATTACCCGCGACGACAGTCTTAGAATGCAGCTTCTAAGTTGCATCAAGTCCGCGGTCCACAGCAACATTCATAGAGTCATACGATTGAGGGCCCAAGTGTTCTTGCCGGCCTGGAGTGGGAGCCTGGCTCGCCTGGAGACGGATCTGCAACACATGCGCTTGGCTTTCTCATGAGCCTGAAACCTGAGATACCATATCCCATCCTAAGTCATGGACAGCCTCAAGGGTTCACAGAATGTCCCGCAAGGGTGCAAACGATACGGAAATTCCACACCATGTCTCGGAACAGAAGTGGCATCCTCCGCGTCTGCACCCCTTATGTCGCGTGCTTCGGGCTGAGGGCAGAACCCACTCGAGTCAATGTCATGCTTTATCCACCCACTCCTCTTCACGCCAAATAAGTTGGTAGTTGCAACTCAAATGGCATCCATGCAAATCGTAATTGCCAGAAAATATGCTATACTTACACACTAGGCAGTGTACTTTGGAATAGCTGGGCTGTCTTCAACAGCAGTGGTGACCCTTGCTCTCGCCTTCACAAAGCACCGAGTGTCTAAGCACCCTCGGTTCCCTTTCATCATAATGACTCAAAATATATTATAGGCCTTCGGTTTCGTTCAAGCCGCAACACATACACAGATTCGTTTACAGATAGGGGTAGTAGCAAAGACCGACACCGACGCGGATACACAAATGCAAACCAGCACCAACACAGAGCAACGCACACGTAGACAAGCTCTGATTAATTTTGTGAGCCTCACCGGCTCCGATCACGGTGCCCACGGCTGCTGCTCCGCCCACGGCTGCAGCTTCGTCGGTTCGCACTTTCGCTTCGCACACGTTGATCCTCAAGGGCTTTCTACACGGGATCATGCTTGAGAACACGCTGTATCACGGGGTCTGTATAGCCCCTCGCTTTGCAGCTGCCTTGTCCGGGTTTCTAGCTCTCACATCCCACAAACCCGACATCGTGTCCCGAGTGCACTTTGGCATTGCAGGGTGCAGGGTTAAGAGATGTTTATAGGGTATGAAGAGAGGGCTCGAGGTAGGGTCGTGTGTTATTTCGGGAGTCAAATCGACGTCAAAACCCGAAGTATCAAAAATGCTAATCACGCGCAGACTAGATTTCATCACCAAGCCGAAAGCTCTGCAAGTCCGATGTGCATTGGTTGATTCGATTCCCAGACTGAAAACTTACCAGCCCTACAGATGACAAAGGCCGCAGCCAAACAACAGCCCAAAAGACCTCCAGCGCTCCACCTCCAAATCCTAACAAGATCCAGGCGTCGGTCATCCCTCCAGGCTGGTCATCCTGCGCAGAGTTTCGGCTTTCCCTGTTAGGGGCTTGTTGTACGATCCGAAGCTTAGGTAAAAACTGTCGCTACTTCAGCACAGAACTGGGCTTGGGGCGTCAACTCTGGTGGTTTGTATAGATCAGGGCTTTGGGGAAGAGCTGCTCCTCATTGAGCTTTCGGCGCCATCGTACGATGACGACTTCGTCACCCTCGTGGTACCTGAGAAGAGAACAGCCTATAGAGCCACTTGGCGTCAGATGTTCTTGCTACTTGCAATTTCAGGCACAGTGGCAAACACACCGCAACAGACCGTAACAACGCTCTAACCCTGTAAACCCAAGGGCTGTCATTAGCCAGCTCAGAAAAATCCTAGCCCTATATACATATAGTATAATATTCTTCTTTCATTTCTGCATCACAGACTCTCCCCTGGCCCTGCCTTGCTCGTCTGTGGGAGTCGCGGCTGTCTCCGAATCGTGGGCGATAGCCGTAGGTCAAGAAGGGAACGAGGTCCACCCAGAAGACTTCCCGCAGAAAGGTGCCTGAACCTCAGCAAGGACGCATGTGGCAAACACTGCCTTTTAGAACCTCGAAATCAACATGGAATGCCTACATTATAGGTGCCTAAACGCTTGACGCGACGAACGAACCCCTGGAGAGAGGTAGGACTGTCCAAACCCTTCAGCCTGAAGGACCGCGTCTAGCTCACCGCTGACATGCCTGCCGAAAGCAAGTTAGCAAAGCCAAGACCAGCGACGTGTCTGCAAGGTGATCGGCAACTTCCATGCCAGGTGCTGGTGAGCCAACAGGATGACACTAACAGTGCCACCAACCCCATCTTCGCCAGGATCCAGATACCTGAGCTGGAACCCTGGTATACCCTACGTACGCCAATATGGTATCTCTCAAAATCCCTGACCCTAGCGAAGACCAAAACAAGCTGCATGTGTGCCTCAGCACAGTCAGTGACAACAAGATCCTGCCCTCAACCAAAACCACTCTAGCCGCTCTAGCCTGCATCTTCGCAACCAACTTGCCATCAAGCCAAAGGTGCTCGGAGGTGCTCTGCACAAATCCGGTGCAGAGGCCTTGTATGGCCGTGATGACCTCTCGGCTGCTAGATTGTGCCTGCATGTCGCGTGGAAACGGCATGACCTTGCACAGCTACATTTGCAAGACTGCCATGCTGCAGGACCTCAATGTGTGCATAAACACTTAAGTCATACTTAAATTAAACCCGTCGACATTCGAGGTAAGCAGCGGTAACTACAGCAGCTGTTATAACTCTTTACGCGAAAGCCGGATCACGTAACTGAGGGCGAAGCCCACACTGCTCCTTCCAATCCGTCGACCTTGAGCTTGAGGTTCGTTGCATCCACATTCGCAGACACCTCTATGCCGAAAGGACGAAGGCTGGCCTGGGAGGCCCGAAGCTCGGATCTCATCTTCTCCGACGTCGGCCATGAGAGCTCGGTGGTACACCACTCAAGACGAGGATGCTCTGATCGCAGCCACAAAGCCACAAGCCTTGCAGCCGCAACCGTGAAGAGATGGGTGCATTCGCCCACGAAGAGCATTCGCTTGGCTTTCGTCCGGCATTGGGAGAGGAGCAGCTCCTGGGCCTTCAATGTCTCATCACTGCGAAGACCATGCGCGCTGCCTGCCTGCCTTCGTGCAGGTGACCTGCCGCGCTCTGGCTGGGACACAGGGACCACCGGTTTCGGGGGCAGTGGAGGTGGGGCAGTTGGTCGAGTGGGTCCACGTCGGGCAGTCAAGATTGCCTTTCGGGTTCTCGGCGCTCGGGGCATGGCATCCAATGAAGACAACCCGAGTCTCCTGCAAAGGCCGTTACAAACATGCAGTGACCTGAACTTCTGCATAGCCGGAGACCCCAGATCGGCGGCACCAAATTCCTGCCCCAGTGAAAGAACTTGAGGATCCGTCAAGTGAACCCGTCGACTCTTTCCATCACCAGGCAACAAAACTCCTTGAAGATCTGCCACCATGAGGTTGCCCCGGCTGAAATCCAACGAAAAATGCGCAAAAGCTTCCACGGCCATGCTGTACTCGGTGCTGCTTGGTGGGATCAGTATCTCCCCCCGGTTGTTGATCCATTTGGTGAAGCCCCTTTCTGATCCCTTTAGGAACGGCTCTGCGACACAGAGTACGTTGGGAATATGCTCGGTTGCGCACACATCGTAGACCCATGTCTGTGTGCATGACACAAGGCGCATCGGCTCCCGATTGCAAGCGAAAGCCCACCAAAAATGCTTATGAAACTGCTGGGTCAACTGACGAGTTTGTGCGGTGTTTTTCACAAACTCTTTAACGAAATCCCAGGAGTTGTCATGTTCGGCATACCTGGAAAGCTTTGCCACCATTTCGGCCCGGATGTCTTCATCACGGCATCGGTAAACCAAGCGCATGCCCCCCTGCATGATAGGGTCCTTGTGCAGTTGAATCTGGCACTTGTCATTGGTTCTTGTCTGCAGCTTTCCATTGCAGAGCCTGAAGGTGCAGCGCCGCGCATTCCCAAGTCTCCCGTTTTTTCTCCCAGGGGCGAAACCATGAAAGCGACGTGCGCTCTCAAAAGTAACACGACGGGCTTCTCGATCACGCTGATGCACCGCGTTCCTTGTTTCAGTCACTGTCTTGCTTAGACTAGAGAAGGTGTTGACAAGATTGTCGATGTCCAAGCTTGCACGGCTGAAGCTTCCACGCCCAATCTGTGCAAGCTGCTGAAGAATCAGGAAATCCTTCAGTCCGAAACCGATACAGTGAAGAACGACATGTGGATTCGCTGCGACGAGGGTTTGGAAGCCGGGCAAAACATGATGTTGCAGATTACCTGCGCAGCCGTCAGACATGAAGATGGCGCGGCAGACTTGCCCAGGAACAGCCACTTCTTGGACTGCAGAAACTATCTTATCGTAGTTCACGCAGCCAGCAGGCTTGAAAACACCGCGGCTAAGGTCGGCAATGGCTTCGGAGCTGCTTCGCCTTAAGAACTTGACGTCATAGCTGTTCATCGAGAAGGTAACCAAAGAGTACATGTCCAGCACAGCCCCCGCCGATCGCTGCTGAACGATAAAGCTTTTCAGTATATCCACAACTGCATCGATGCGGCGGAGCTCTTTCCGCCCAGCAATGTCGTGCCTTTTCATGCTACTGGAGAGGTCTACCAAGAAGATGACAGAGATGGGCGCATCGGCTGCCGGAGGGCGAGTGAAGCTCCGCAGCTCGCCCAAGCCATCTTCTGCTTCAGCAGGATCCACATCTGAATCGAGGGAAATGTCACCTCAGCACAGCACACAAAATCCGACATAGCATGGAGGGCTGGCGTTAGAAGCACGACTGGAGATAGCAATATCTGCTGTGAATGCAAGGCCCTGGCTCGCAGCAGAGGCTGCGTCGAGCCAGGCATCGAGCTCGTCCTGCCCTTCGCCGTGGGCACTCACACAGTCCTGGAAATCCTCGTCCTCATCGGGACGGAGTCCGGCTAAGCGCCCCGCCATGGTGGCTTGGAGGGCAAGGAACGCTTAGCAGGCCTCTCGGCCTTGCACCCTTGGATGTGCATATGTGAGCCTGACAATGCTGAGCAATGCTGTGCTTTACTCGATTGCTCTGGAATCAACCTGAGCAAAACTGGCTGCGACGAACAGGCCAGTGACGACAGATGACAACATATCTGAGAAACAAGGAAATTCTACTGACGAGCCTCCTGTTGGCTATGTTCATATCTCTCTGCATGTTGTCAACTTGCGCCTCTCTGCGGCTTGAAAGTGTGTAGCCTATCCTCACCCTCTATCTCGAGCGTTTATTCCATCTCTCTGGGGTGTCTGCCTCTCCCTCCCGAGATGCAAAACATGCAAGTCATTGAATTGAGGCTGCAGCACCCGGCGCATCCCTTCGCACGGACCAGCACCTTGGTTCCATAATGTTCTGTGCCTATCTACCGCCGTCTGTTCTCTATAACCCACTTCGGCTCTAAGCATGGCAAACACGGGCAGTCAATCTTGACTTACAGAGGCTCAAGGCTTACAGCACCTGGACCTAGAGCTTCAGTGCCGACACTAGCAACTACGACCAAGTCTGAACAGGCCAGGTGGCTCACCCGCTCAGGGCCGAGGTGGAGAAGACAGAGCCTGAAGGCTCAAAGCATGGGCTTCTGACTGCTAAGTCCTATCCTTATTATTATTATTATAGTTATTATTCTAATTCGAGCCGGTATCTGACATCATCGAAAGCTCCCTGTGCTCGGCAACCTTAGCCCAGACCACGAGCTTCAATGAAACCTCGAGCTATGGGCCGTAGTATGCTTGGACCTTACGGGCACTGCAGTTCAATATGCGACAGCTGCCCGAAGACCCCCAAATCCCTAGATACTAAGATAGGTGATATCAAGACGAGAAGCTGAAACTCCCGTCTGCGACACCGATAAAAGCCATGGCCATGTGCCTGGCAGGCGACGGAGGGTTTTCAGAGAGGGGCTTAACTCGGCGAAAACAAGAGAAGGACCGGAACCAAGATCCAAAAACTATGCACAGACACGAATCATGTTTATGACACAACAATGGCTCTGGTCTGGATAGAATTCAAAGATCGAAGCTTGTCTGCTGAATATGCACCCCACAAGTCCTTGTAGTCCTTCACCCTGGATCCAAAACTCCAGAGCGCTGGCAAGGAGCTTGAAGGTTCATGGTTTCGCGGTTTAGGGTAAAGCAAGCATCGAATTCTGAATCTTGCTTCTGCTCTGTCCCGACGATACATGGAAGCGGAGAAGATCGATCATGGCAGGGCAGGCTTTGCAGACTGCAGGACCGAGAAAAAGATGGCAGACAGCATAACGGTCAAAGAGCTAACGGCCTCCAACATCGTAAGCAAAGTCATCGTCAAATTTGAGAAGAGTCCGGCTGTCGCACTAGAAGCAGGCAAACCAACCGGAATCGTCAAACTCGCGAGGAAACTCCAGGGACATCTGCTCCATTGAGTTTCTGGGGCTTGGGGATCTTCGAAGCTTTGGTCTTGGCGGCTGCGAGTGCGACACCCGTATAAGAAGGACCCTAAGGCGACACCAATGTAGAGAACTGTCCATATGTTGGTTTCAGACTCTGGCTGCTGCCAACGATGCTGCGAAAAAGCGACACCAAGACACGAAAAGCCATGCAGCCGCGGGCTGAAAGAGATGCTAATGTATGAAAGACGCGTTGTCTGGGAGTCTTCAGTGTCGCAAGTGTTGTGTGGTGGCGACACCATTGGCACGCTTCCCGTAAGGGCTTTAACTTGATGAGTTTGTGTCTTAGCGATCCTAGGTTGCCAATCGGCCCGTTTTCTCTGACAGGAAATGTACGAAAAAAGAAATCAGTTAATCTCTCGGGCCACTGAGGATAAATGCACCTCACATAACCACTTAGACAAGATCCGGCAAACAAGGCCTTCAGAGCGAACCCGTTGGCTGTGAAGTTATAAAACTCATGGCATGCAGGAAATGATCGGTTGAAGTCCAGTACAACTCCAGCCACACCCAGCCTCGACCCGGAGCTCGCAGCCGGGCAGAGAGAAGGGAGTGCTCTGCTGTGCTGTATGGCAGAAGCATGCCGGCACAGATGGGACCAGGACGTTTACTTTTGGAAGTGCTATCTGGGGTTTACCTGCAATCATACTGGAGGCTTCCTGGGCTCAACTGGGGCATGTGCGGTCTTAGCATACACTGCCGAAGGTGCATTAAGCTTCTTAGGATGTAGTCATCTGGATCTGGGAGCAGATTGGAAGGCCCCTGCTGTGCTGCTGTGCTGACTCCGGCTCAGAGTGCGCACAAGTCAGCTTGATGGCCCTCTTCTGAGCATCCACCATCTTACTTGCTGCGCCAGGTTGCATCGTTCCAATCAAAGGACGTTTGCGATACCTGCGAACTGGGCGACAAGTTAATTAGCTAAGTGTTTCAAGATTTCAGGAGAAGCATACAGTCGTAGCAAACTTATGGGCAGATGGCTCCAGTTCCCTGCCACGAGCAACAGCTTCCTGATAATTCGCTCAGCCGGTACAAGTCGATGTTCTTCCTCTGAAAATCAGCAGCACGTCATCACCGACATCATCATTACCACCACTACCATCATCAACAGAAACTGCTAATCATGCGACAGCCATGACCCAGATACCTCTCACTGGCCAATGCAACTCTAAAAGTTTCCTAAACCCTAAACCCTGTTTGCCAACTGCCTTGATGTTGAAGTTGAGCTTGGCGCCAACGTCCAAAACCAGCCTGGCGAAGTCGAAGCTCAGCAACAGCTCACACTAAACCAGCCAAGCTACAGTTTTAAGTCTGTAATAACCCGGAGCTCGCCGCATGCCCCGGGCGTAGTGAAAAGTCAGAATCAAGCTGGCGAACTCTCCATCTCGTTCCCCAAGTCCCCGTGCCTCCAGACCTCAATTTGCCACTTCACACGCTTGTTGCCCAAATTTGGGCAACTCATACATCTGAACCCTCCCACGGCGAAAGTTTGATCGGCTTCCTACGATGCGATGTTCGTTGCATTGTAGCAGCGAGCTGCGCAGATCCCAGACACAAGAGATGGAATCACATGTGTCGTGTAGGCAAAGCATCGCACCTGCAAAGAGGATGAAAGATTCACAGCTTGCGATGAACGAGGAAGCAAGCAATTTGAACACCTCTCGCTCTCGAGCTCGCATTCAGAAGCTTCACACTCCGATTCGCGAGTTCTAAGTGGAAAATGAAGAGAAACGATGTAGCACGCACTTACTGTTTCACCTCGACACCTCCCAGCCCTATACAGACCTTGAAACTCTACACACTTTCCCAGGGGCCTCAAACCCTCATGTCCCCCGGCTCTGGTTTCGATGTCACGTGGGGTCGTTCGGGATCCCGGGCAGATGCAATCTGAGCCGGCGCAACTCCTCGTACCCAGTGGGAAGGGCCACGCCCGAGGAGTTATGCAGTGGAGGAAGGGAGCTACCCCCACCTCAGCTGTCGGGCAAGCTTCGACAGTTATGACGATTGGGAAGTTTGGGACCTGTTAGCTTAACGTAACTAGGTGTTCATTCCATGGGGAAACGGGTTTAGCACCTTGGAAGCCAACACCGTGACCGTCACCTGTAGGTCGTTTGGCGGACCCTCTCGTGATTTCACTGAAAGGCCTTTTAGTTAGGTACGGCCCCCACTCAGTAATAGTTAAGTAATATTCATAATAATTATAGATCTAGTAGGACCTTAATAGTAGCCCTACTATAAACTCTTACTGTATGGGGGCCGTATCTAACCTTTTAGTCTCAAATTTCCAATCTTCTGGGCCCAGCACGGCCCAACAAACGATCCTACAACGTGGAAGGGCCATGTCGAGCACCAGAAGCTGGGTCCGACACACCAGAGAACTGGGTTGGCCTTTAAACACCCTGAAAAAAAAAATATATATATATATATATATATATATATATATATATATATATATATATATATATATATATATATAGGGTCCCTTATAAACCCAAATAAGGAAAATGAAAAATGTCCCAAAATCCAACCTAGAGAAGCTCACTTTCCTACGGCTCCGTAATGGGGTCTAGAGCAGAAACAACCAGCAAGTGCAATCGCTTCCATGCTTCAAGGATTGGGCTTCAGGGTGACGTGGGATGGACGATGGATTCCTTGAGACCTGCCTAGAGTCTAGGGTTTAGGGTTTTAGGGTTTAGGGGTTTAAGGTTTAGACTCCCTAGACCTTATAAGCCCTTCGGAACCGAAGGCCTCAGCCTCAGCTCGAATCGCTGGGCTGACGCGCGGTCGGAAATCTTGTATTCAGCACCGGAGCTGTATGTTTCGTGTGCCGGTCATTTCATGTTGTCGTACTAAGCTCTGAACACACACACACATACACACACACACTCTTTTGGGGTGCTAACACGGCTGGCCTAGGGAAGTTGCAGGCAGCCGAGCGGCTCAGAATCATGTAGGATGCCTGGGCTGTTGACTGCATGTCGCTTCACAGCTCTCAACACAGCTGCGGGGCTCCGAAAGTTAGGGGTACCTTATCTTGTGGTCCTTATAATAAGGATCCTACTATTTAGAAATTTAGGGTACTAAATTAGGGTCCCCTATTTTCGGAAACTCACAGCTGCCTCTGAAACATGAAAAGGCTTCAGGTCCCACGGAGACAGCAGGCCCCAAACCGAAGAGAACATCCCAACCTCAGTGGCAGTGAGCCAAAATCTTAAACACTGTCTCCAAGAGCCATCAAGGTGCCGAGACATCGGCGTTGGCCGGATAACCGGGTACCTCGCTGGCGGAGAAAAGTGGGTAGCTGAAGCCGATGTCGACGATCTGCCCCAAGACCTGCGCAGCAAGGGCCCAAGGCAGGTTTTGGAGCAAGAGTTTCAAGAGTTTACTATAAGTTTCTCTGGCAAGGCCATGTTAATTAATGCTGGCTGAAAGCAAACTCGGATCCGGGGTTCAGCACAGTATGGCTTCTTGGCCTTTTTGAGAGTTGGGGCATGTATAGGCTTC